ACGCTTCCGCAAACACGTCGAGAAGGAACGAATTTATGATTTTCTTGCAGGTCTTCGTCCGGAATTAGATGATGTGCGTGGCCGCTTACTTGCCATAAAGCCAATCCCAGCCATTGACGAAATCTTCGCAGAAGTTTGCTGGGAGTCAAGCCGTAAACGTGTGATGATGGGTGATACACACACAAAACCTCTGTCCCTCTCACTGGAATCATCAGCTCTGGCGGCACGAGGTCCACCACCACCTTCATCCCGATCTACTCGTCGGAACAACCTATGGTGTGATCATTGTAAGCGCACAAACCATACAAAAGATCAGTGTTGGGAACTCCATGGTCGTCCTCAACGGAAGAATTTATCAGGGGATTATCGGCCACCTCCACCTACAAATACTCCATCTTCTCGAACCAGCTCCTCCGGCTATCAAGTGGGCCCTAGTGTGTCCAACTCCCAAGATTTGGCCACCTCTCTCCCTCCATTTTCGAAGGCACAACTTGAACAGCTCTATCGCCTCTTAACACCGCCGGTTGAGTCTACTCCTTCGTCAAGTTTTGTGGCACAACGAGGTATTTTTAGTGCAGCTTTAACAAGTCAGCAGCATTCCGATCAGTGGATCTTAGATTCGGGTGCAACTGATCATATGACCGCTTTTCATGATATGTTTACCATGTACTCACCCAACCCGATTCAGACACATGTCAAGCTTGTAGATGGGTCATCGGCCATTATTAAGGGCTTTGGTTCTGTTATTCTTAGCCCAAACATTACATTGCACTCAGTGCTCCATGTGCCTAAATTATGTTGCAATCTAATTTATGTTCAGAAGTTGACTCATGATTTAAAGTGTCAAGCCCTGTTCACTGACTCTAAGTGTTTGTTTCAGGACTTGATAACGGGAACGACGATTGGCAATGCTGATGGCTTTGAAGGGCTCTACTACTTCAGAGGACCAAGTCTAAGAAATAAACAAGTTCTCCAGGTTGGTAGTGAGTCGAATTCTAGGGAACAACAAATTCTACTTTTACATCGCCGTTTAGGGCACCCGAGTTTTCAGTATCTTAAACATTTGTACCCTTCACTTTTTCATAAAGATGACCTTTTTACTTGCGAAGTGTGTCAACTTGCAAAACACTCTCGTACATCTTATCCTTCTGTTGAGTATATACCATCCAGTCCATTCACAGTGATTCATAGTGATTTATGGGGGCTGTCTCGCATCAAAACTATGTCCGGTAAACGTTGGTTCCTTACCTTCAGTGATGACCACACTAGGGTTTGTTGGGTCTATTTACTTAAAGAAAAATCAGAAACTGCATCAATCTTTCAACAGTTTCATTCTCTCATTCATAATCAATTTAATACGAGAATCAAAATTCTTCGCACAGATAAGGGGACAGAATATTTCAATCAAATATTGGGAACTTTCCTGTCTCAAAATGGAATCATTCACCAAAGTTCCTGTGTCATTGCTCCCCAACAAAATGGTATAGCTGAAAGGAAAAATAGGCATCTTTTAGAAACTGCTYGTKCTCCCATGTTCACCAATTCTGTTCCTAACTGTTTTTGGGGTGATGCTGTCCTTACTGCTTGTTATCTCATTAATCGGATGCCCTCTCGTGTTCTGAAATTTAACATTCCACTAGAAATCTTACTCACTATCTATCCGCAAATCCGATCTGTCCTCACAATTCCCCTCAAAATATTTGGATGTACTGCATTCACTCATGTTTATGATTATGAACGTCACAAATTGGAGCCAAAAGCCAGAAAGTGTGTCTTCCTTGGTTACTCTCCTACTCAAAAAGGCTATAAATGCTATTGTCCATTCACCAATAAATTTTACACTACCATGGATGTCACATTTTTTGAGTCTCAATCTTTTTTCTCCCTAAATTCCCCTCAGGGGGAGACTGAGCCTATTACAAGTAGTCTTGATGGAAATTTTGGGAGATTGACGATCTAAATACCAGAATTGAGTCCCCTCAGTAAAAAATACCTGAGATTGATGGTCTAAATACCGAGTCACCTCAGCCAAAAATACCTATCCCGATCGTCCCAATTACTCAGATAGAAGAGTCAGTTCCTATTATTTCCTGTAATAATGAAGATGATCAAGTCAACCCAAATCGAAGTGACAAGCAACCTGAGACTCTTGTTTATTCTCGGCSACAAACGGTTCAAARAGGAGTGGAGCCACCACARCCTCAACAGCAAAGTCATGAATCCATCTCGTCCTTAGGTACTGAACAATCTACCCTTGTGCCTCAAGACAATACTAATGATCTTGATCTTCCTATTGCACTCAGGAAGGGTGTGAGATCGTGTACTCAACATCCAATTGCTCGATGTATTGGTTATAGTCATTTATCTTCAGCAGTTCAGACCTTGGCTCTCAATCTGGAAGCCAATGAGGTACCAAAATCCATTCAAGAGGCTATGAGCAATCCACAGTGGAAAAATGCGGTAGATGATGAAATGAAGGCTTTGAAGCTTAATGATACGTGGACAGTAGTTGATCGTCCTCAAGATAAACCAACGGTAGGATGCCGATGGATCTTTACTGTCGAATATAAGGCTGATGGGTCCATTGAAAGGTATAAAGCAAGATTGGTGGCCAAAGGATACTCTCAGACTTTTGGGGTAGAYTATCAGGAGACATTTGCACCCGTTKCAAAATTAAACACAATCCGTGTCCTCTTGTCTCTTGCTGCAAATCTGGATTGGAAACTACAACAACTGGATGTCAAGAATGCATTCCTCAATGGAGATTTGGAAGAAGAGGTGTACATGGACCTTCCTCCTGGATKTGACATTGATAAGTATGATGGAAWGGTGTGTAAGCTGAAGAAATCTCTCTATGGTTTAAAACAATCCCCACGTGCATGGTTCGGGCGATTTTCAAAGACTGTTTGTAAACAAGGATATACCCAAGCTCAAACTGACCATACAATGTTCTATAGGCACTCTCAAGGTAAGATCACCATCCTCATTGTTTATGTCGATGATATTATTGTCACAGGTGACCATCATGAAGAAATAGAGAGACTAAAACAGRCACTTGGAAAGGAGTTCGAAATAAAGGACYTGGGAACACTTCGGTATTTTCTAGGGATGGAAGTTGCTAGGAGCAGAACTGGTATATCTGTGTGTCAAAGAAAATATGTACTAGACCTCTTGAAGGAAACCAGAATGCTTGGATGTAAACCATCTGATACTCCAATAAGTCCCAATCATAAGTTGGGAGAGAGCCTAGATGGGGTACCCGTTGATAAAGGGAGATATCAGCGTCTTGTTGGATGATTAATCTATTTATCCCACACTAGGCCGGATCTTGCATTTGCAGTGAGTGTTGTAAGTCAATACATGCATGCTCCTACTGAAGAATACATGGAAGCGTGTATCATATTCTTAGATATCTTAAAGGAACTCCAGGGCTGGGATTATTTTTCGGAAAGGATGATGACAGAAAGATTAAGGTGTTTACAGATGCTGATTGGGCACGTTCTATTCAAGATAGGAGATCTACGACAGGATATTGTACCTTCGTATGAGGTAATCTTGTTACATGGAGGAGTAAGAAACAATCAGTTGTTGCAAGAAGTAGTGCTGAGGCTGAATTCAGGGCATTATCTCATGGTATTTGTGAGATAATGTGGCTGAAACTCCTCCTCCAAGAACTCAAGATCAGGTTTGATAGTTCAATGGAAGTCTATTGTGACAACAAGGCTGCAATTGCTATTGCACACAATCCAGTGCATCATGATCGTACTAAACATGTTGAGGTTGACAGGCATTTTATCAAGGAGAAGATTGAAGAGAAAATTATAAATCTGATGTATGTTCCATCATCAGATCAAGTTGCASATATCYTAACAAAAGGACTCTTRAGACYCRTATTTGAAAGGTTGTTGATCAAGCTGAAACTGTTCAATCTGTATAGTCCAGCTTGAGGGGGAGTGTTGAATTAGTTAGAAGTTAAGATTATGTGGACTTAGTTAGAAGTTGTTTTAAAGTTGTTTAGATTTTGTGTTTAAATTTAGCAAATAAATCTCCTTTTTTGTTAGGGTAGTTAGGAGGTTATTCCTAGATTTTGTTTCCTCTTGTAACCTATAAATAGTGTCTCTATTCCTCATCTTTGATCAATCAATTTTGAGAATTTATTTCTTCTCTCTTTTCTCTTGTATGTCTCTCTGGTGTCTCTATCCTTAGTTTTTACGAAGAAAGACCAATGTTTGTTTGGCAATGTCAATCCAAGGCCCGCCACTGCCCTTCCTCCTCGGTAAAGAAGGAAGCCAACTCCCATTCTCTACCTCATAAATACTAGTTATCACTTTTTTCCACAGCAGGTCTTCTTCTTGAGTATATCTCCAAAGCCATTTCTGTAATAAGACTTCATTCATCTGTTTGAGATCTCCTATCCCAAGGCGTCCATACATTCTTGGGAGTGTACCATCCCAATTTACCAAACGGCGTTGGGGGTGAAGACCATCTCTGTGATGATCTTCGAGGGGGCCTTAAAAATTGAAAAGGCATAGATGGGCCTTAAGTCTTCCTCGCTTCGAATGCAACAGATTACTGTAAGGGCAACTGATTTCATTTGGATCTCTTATTGCAAACGAAATTGTTGATGACTGGATCTTCAAAAGTAAAAAATGCCTCGTGCTCACGTTGGACCTCAAGAAAGCTATCGACTAAGTTGAAATGGACTTCTCAGATGCAATTCTATAGGCCAAGGGCAGTGCTTTTAGAGCACAAAATCTTTTAATCACCTCAAGGCGAGGAGTGATAGAAAGGCATTGCTTGAGTGAAGCAACGCGTACTTAATAAAATAGTAAATAATAAATAAATATCATCTTATRTTAGATATCCTATAAATGAATTAAATACACCCTAACTCATCAACTTAACCTTTTTGGTTCATGGGTAATTTAATCATGTTTAAGATGTTATCAGAGCAGGAGGTCTTGGGTTCGAACTCCTATATTGTCATTTCCTCCCCATTTATATTTATTTCCACTCGTCAGGCCTTGTGCAAATTTCCAAACCCACAAGTGAGGGAGAGTGTTAGTGTTAGATATCCTATAAATGGATTAAATTTATACTCACCTTAAGCTTTTGAGTTCATTGGTGATTTAATCATATTTAAGATTTTATAAATAGATAATGAAATAAATACTCAATTCTAGAAGCATAAAAATAATTTTTTTTTTCTTTAACAAAAAAGCAACTTTTCATTGTTAGATGAAAAGATACGAAGTGTTCAAGGATACAACCTCCAAAAGGAGAAAAACAAAAACCAACTACCAACCAAACAAAGAAAGCCAAAACAACTGCTCCCAAAAGAAAAAACAAACCAAAAAACCAGACAAAAAACCACCAAACTAACCAGAACCAAATACAACTCCAGCTTAACAAAACCTAACAAAAGAACAGCAAAGCAAAGCCTCAAGAAAAAGAAAAAAGAAAAAGAGATGTGAAACATAGCTAAGAACGTGTCATCTTGGAAAAGGAAGCTAAGCTCTATCTATCGGAACAGGAGTAATGCCCACTTGGTTGAAATAATCGGACAAATCTTTGGGGATTGAACATTCGCCGAAAAACTCTTGCAATGAGTCATCTTCAGACGGTAAACAAGAAATTTCTTTTATCTTCAGTCTTGTTGAAATTTTACAAAACTATTGARTCATCTTCAGTAAACAAAATATATCTTCAGTCTAAAAGCATAAAAATATTACAAAACCATTTAATATTTTTAAAAAATAACTTAACTAATATATAAAAAGTGGGGATGTAGAGAAAATCTTTTTAAATATGTTAAAAAATGTGGTCGAACCATATCAACGATTAAAAATATATATATATTTGATAGCTCGGAGTCAAGCTTTGCTCTCCTATATCCGAGGTACCCGCACCCGCCCCAAGGCCTGGACCTGGAAAACATCAAAGATTTTTTATATTAAGCTCACTTAAAGATTCGAACTTGAAACATCTAATTCGGTATAATCAAGAGGCCCCAAGCCCTAGCCCTATAAAATTATATTTATGAGGAAGAGATACTGCCGTCCAGTTATGACTCTTCTTCTCCTCCATTTATTCTTCTTCTTTTTATACTTATTTTCTTCCATTTTTCTTCTCTTCTCCCCACTCAAACATTAAGAAGACCCACGCAATCCATATAGGCTCCCTAACTCTAGCCAAAATGCCTTTTAACTCTATTTTTAGAAGGCCCACACACCCGATAATCCAACTTGATTAATTATCTGAGAATTTGAATGAAATGACATCGTAAACACCCCTCTAACCACGTCCAAAAATGACAACCTACAATCATCACAAATAAACAAGATACTCAATAAAGCACCATCGACTTCAAGAGCATTTTACTCCACTCCATACCTACTCCGAACTTTATTAAAACTCATGGAAAGGTTGACTACTAGGTTTCTTCTTTCAATAAGGATTGCAATATTAGGACCTTTCTAAGAGCAATTCCTTAACCGATTGCTTGCATCTATCCCTAGGCTCCTTGGGTCCCCGAATAATTTTGGAACATTTACAGATCTAAATTCTAGGAGCTATTCCCAAAAACAACAAGAAAAGAACAATAAAATTGGGTGTATTAATTCATGCATCAAGTAGGATTTTATTAGCCTCATACATGCCATTGCTTTGATGATGTGTGTATCATAGCAAAAGGAATGGCAGAAAGAACTCAACCAGTGTTTCAAGCAATGAAATCGCACTTGTGTCAACAAGGCAAATCATCTACTCAATTTTGATAGCAAATGAAGCAGTAGACTAAAGAAGATATGCAAGGAAAAAAGAGTAGGTATTTGAAATAATACTGAAAGGGCATTAGACATGGTAAATGGTGGCCGTGTCGGACAAGAAAGTTTTGCTCTAGTTGGATAAAATGGATGCAGTCGATTTCAAATACTAAATTCTTCGTTTTTTTTTTCTATAAATGGAGAGCCAAGAGGTAGGGTAGTGTACTAGCATCACAGTTGAGACAAGAAAACCCTATTTTCTCTTTTCATTTTTGTAACCATCAGTGGCATATTTGAGTACGTTGGATTGGATCAGAGAGCAATACAACTCTTAAGCTTAGTTTTCTCTATTTTCGAAGGAATCGCCGTAATTTGGATAAAAGGGTTAATTTTGTCCTTTGAAGATTGATGACCTCACTAACTAAATCATGCTCAAAGAGTTAAATTCATTCAAGTGTTGGAAGTTGCAAGTTACAACACATGTCAATAGGTAACACAATCCTCACCTATTCACATAGTTGGACATGTCTCACATATGGTACAACTAAATAAAGACCTTAACTTTTTGACAAATTTCTAATTAGACAATTTAAAATATTAACAAAATATAAATATAATGCAATTTACATCAACAATAAAATGGCTCGACTTCATCATAACAATTCCATGAATAGCTCCATCTTAATATGAATGTTGTAATTTTAAATAATATATTCCATAACGTAAATTTCCTAGATACCCAACATCGTGTTCAGAGGAAATCACAAAAATACTTTCCAATTGACAATGATCAAACAAAAAAAAATATCTGCAATTTCCTTTAAGTGTATTAACCACAAATCTTATGCAACATAAATTACAAATTCAGTGAACAAAAATCTAGCCTATCCAACCGTGCATCAACAACAAGAAGTTAAAATAAATAAATAGGATATACTCACCATTTAGAAAGCCAGTTAGATTGTCTTGCGCACTGCTGATACACTACATCAGTTCCTTGTGATGTAGAACAAACAAGTCTTTGAAACTTGGATGATAACTCTTGATAAGGTTCAGTTTCAGATGGCTTCACGTGTCTAACAGCAGTTTCTAAATGCAACATATTTATTTTTGAAGCCTCAAGGTTCTCCTAAAAATAAAAGTAAGATATACATTAAAATAATSAATGAATCTTTAAAATTGAAGTTCGAAAGACGGGGAAGAACAAGAACTCAATAAACCTCAAGGGCTAATAAAGCTGCTTCTCTACAAATTAATGATATGTCAGCCCCTGAACAGCCTTGAGTAAGAGAAGCTAACTTCCTTGTACTGACATCTCGGCTGCACGGAACTCTGCACAAATGGATACGAAATATCTCTTCTCGTTCAGATTCATTTGGGGGCCCAACATATAGCAGCCGATCAAAACGTCCTATTCAAAGGTACWATCAGCTAGATTAATACAATCATTTGCTTATTAAAAACCAGAAGCTGGGCACAATGCATTTGTTCCGGTGCATGTGTTGTATTAGTAAATGGGAGGTGCATGAGTTTAGAAATGTTCTTATATGGGGTAATACCTGGCCTAAGAAGGGCTGGATCAATCTTATCTGGCCGATTGGTAGCAGCAATGACAGTAACACCAACTCTCTGATGTAAACCTAAATTTTAGAAAGAAAACACAAATGATTAGAATAAAAGGCTAAGCATATCTCTAAAAACATTAAACTCCTAATCTCTGTTTCTCTGTGATGAAAACTCATCAGTATTATATAGTATACTGTATAGCTAGTAAAAGAACCAGAAAATATTGAAGATTGAATTAAACAAATGTTCAACTGACCATCCAATTCAACAAGAAGTTGACTCATAACTCTATCAGAGACAGAAACTCCATCACTTTCCTTCCCACGAATGACAGCAAGACCATCAATTTCATCAAAAAATATTATTGATGGTGCATTAGCTCTTGCCTTAGCAAATAGAGATTTAACAGCCTTCTCAGATTCACCAACCCATTTACTGAAAAGTTCTGGGCCTTTTACTGCAAGGAAATTTAGTCCTGCTTCAGAAGCTACAGCACGTGCCATGAGGGTTTTGCTGCATCCAGGAGGACCAAACATTAACACTCCTGTTGGAGGTCGAGTCCCTATTCGCTTGAATGCATCTTGATGTTTTTGAGGCCATTCTACTGCTTCCATTAATTGAATCKTAACCTCCCTTTGTCCACCAATATCTTCCCATTTTACCTTTGGTACCTCAAGTATGACCTAGAATGAAGTGGTCTTTAGTGAGATGTTTGACCAACATATATGATTTGATAAGAAATTAACTTTCCATAAAGAAGTGAAAAGAACAAACAAGTTTACAGAACACTCCAAATCTAACGGAGCTAATGAAAAGTTGATAAATTCGTATTAATCACAAGGGAATCACAACTACAAAAAAATTTACAAAAACAAGAACAAGCTAAAAATGAATAAGATTGAAAGTTCAGGCCCATTTCTAAATTCATTTTCATGCGTATATAGGTTTATTTCACAAGAATTTTCCAAAGGTATCTAAACTACACACAACAAAATACTCTATAATCTTTTCCCATCATATACTAAGCTCGTCCAATGCTTCATAATGTAGTTTCCATAGAACCMTAGTTTTATAATATAGGGTSAGATGTCACTAAGATACTTTTGATGAAAAACAAAACTTTCATTAAGAAACATGAAAGAGATACAAGAGCATATAAAAAAACCAACCTACAAAATACTCCAATCCAGAAAAACAAGGTCTAACCTATAATAAAAAAACTAGAACTTAAAACATAAAAAAGAAGCCCTAAATGCGTAGACTACAGCTACTGTTTTCTGCCTYTCCCACGACGAAACGCATTAGACTCCTTCCCCAATTGCTTTCCCTGTCACCGTTMGCCTTTGCTGCAACCACCACTTCTGTCCATCTTCGCCGCCACCCACCTTTGCCACCTTTGTAACTATGTTCATCTTCAGCTTCCCCATTATTTTTGTTAGTATTTCATTTATAATTCTATTTTTACTTCTTTTTATTTTCTTAACTTCGTACGAGTTAAACTAAATTAGAATAATTTTCAACTAAATTGCTATGGCCGTGTCTCGTGTCCATGCCTGTGCTACTTAGGATCTAACTTATTACAAAACAACATAGARACTGCCTAAAGAAAAGAGTTGACCCTAACCACAGACCTCTCAACCGCTTTGAAAATTCTCCCATTTCTAACTAATAACTGTGCATAATAAGACCTGTCAGTTGTCGCTAACATGATCATATCAAGACAAAAAAAAAAAGGTAGACATACCTCTCGCATAGCACTAGGCCTCACTTTCATTCTAGCCATCTCAAAATCTTCAAAAACAATCTTCAACCTACACCTGATTCCAGAATAGTTATAAATATCTGCATTATCGGCTACCACTTCGTCAGAAAGGGATGAAGATGCAAATTTTGAGCAAACCCCTGAGATACTTTTTTCATCTTTAGAGAGAATAGGTTCTAAAATCACATCATCAAAATAGCCTTCATCCTCCACCTTGGTAAACTTATGATAACGCCTTATACAAACTAAGGCTGCCTCATTGCAAAGGGCAGCCAAATCAGCACCCACAAAACCATGTGTAACCGTAGCTAGATGTTGAACTTGCAGGTCTGACAGAGAGTGCTTCATTTCACTTAGAATTATTTGTAGAATATCCAACCGTTGATTGGGAGATGGCACACCTATATACACCCAAGCGAAGATATAAATTTCTTACATGTTTCTTCCATAGTAACTAGWAGAAGTGTGCGAGCTTCTTCTGTTCTTTTTTCATCAAATGTAGTTTGAAGGCTAAAGGTGCACTGAATTTAGTTTTCATGTGCGTGCGTGCATGCATATTGCATGCATACATGTATCCATATACATATGTAAATTATTTCCATCATTAAGAGCRTCACGTTACAYTGATTAACTAAACTACATATATTTCCTATTTCTTATTAGAAAAATAAGATTCCTATTTCAGTTTCTCAAATTATTATACATATATAACTATTTTAAAACTAACAAAAAATTATCCAAAAAAATTTCCACATAATTGCAGTTATCTCTCATCCCAATTTGGGATGGGATTGAAAGATCATCTTTTCTCTATCCTAATTGAACTTTGAACCATTACATGTTGAAATCAACCCTACAATTAACACAAGTTATAAGATCATACTGCTAACCAATAACTTGAATCAAACAAGCAATTCAAGATTGSAGACATATGGTCGTACAAGCCACAACAGGATTTGAATTAAAATCTTAAAAATTAAATAAAGGAAAAAAAAAGCATTAGTGTCACACTGATATAGACATAGACTTGCTGTCCTATAGAAAATTTTGATACTATTACTTGGCACTTCCTAGCAAGGAACCAGACACATAAAACAAATTAATTCATGGTATGTATAATATACTATCAGAAATGGAAAACACATGAAGAAACTATAAATCACCAATTTCAATTTCTCGATCAAGTCTCCCAGGCCGCCTTAGCGCAGGCTCAATGCTATCAGGCCTATTCGTAGAAGCAATTACAAGTGGCCCACCACTTCGATTGATCCCATCCATCAGATTAAGCAATGTAGCAACAATTCTTTGAGACAGCTCTTCACCTCCATCTTTTCTTGCCGGCGCAATAGCATCCAACTCATCAATTAATATCTGGTTATAAAAGTTATGGTGGAAAATTAGCCAGCTTCCAGAATAAGAATTAAATGATAGGGATAGCCAACCACTCAATGAAAAATGTCAATCATGCAAGTTCATTTAGTCCAACTTCTTGTCCACCCTTTCAAATTTGCTTTTAGAATTGAACACGGGGCAGGGGAACGAATTTAGAAATGCAGGTGAAGCTAACAACCCAAACGATGTTTTCTTTGTCCACCCTTTCAAAATCAACACCCATTTTAAATTAAATGTTAAAAGAACTACTCATTTTCACTTAACAGATATATGTATGTGCAGAGAATATGAACAAAGCATACCGTCAAAACTATATTCAATCATTATTATCTTAAAATATTATAATATTTGATTGTGAAACTCAAATATTAACCATAAAAACAACTTTAAAAAATTTATACAACTTGAAGGATAATCAAGACATCCATGGCAAAGAATTCAGAATTCAAGAAATCTAACCACAGCAGGTGTAGCTTGGCTTGCCGACTCGAAAACTTCATGCAAGGCCTGTTCACTTTCCCCATGATATTGACTTATAATTTCAGGTCCATTCAAATAGAATAAGTTGACACCAGCATCATGAGCACATAACTGAGCCAAGGAAGTTTTTCCAGTACCAGGAGGACCATGGAGAAGTACTCCCTTCATAGTTCGTAAACCAAGGCTAAATAGGTTCATGGACAATTATAATTTTAGATAATGTTCATGGAATAGTAACAAAAGGTGCAAAAGTCTAGAAAGCCAAGGATATACAATAGATACTTCCTTGCTGAGTGGGGGAAAAGAAAAATCATAAAACTCTACAAATATTCAAGAAGGGAAAAGAAGAAAACTTTTAGTACTTGAAAACCATGAAGCTACAAAGAGACAACCATAAACCTAAACTAAATACAAAAAAAGGCTCAAATCAACCCAAATATGACCTAACAAATAATTAATAAAAAGTTAAAAACCTTTAGAAACAAACACCAATTGAAAAGCATTGAATCTAGCTAGATTTGTCAAATCAAGCATAGCTCAACTAGTTAACCTATCTCCGACTAAAAGGTCGTGAGTTTGAATCCTCACCCCACATGTTGTACTAAAAAAAACTAACTAGATTCCGAACCACAAAGCTACATACAGGTTTAATTAATCTCACATTCTCAAATATGTAAAAGCCCCACTTTTAGTCATTCAAGCCGATGACAAGCTATCCATATCTCAAATCAAATGACATATAATTTTAGATTTTCCCTAATAACATTTAACAAATGTTCAAAAATGAAATTTAACGTAGAGCTAGTTTRAGAAAACTCTTTGCATATCATCCAATCCGGCTAACAAATCAAACACAGATTACATCASAATCAGAGTAAAGGATTTTTTCTCTCACCATGAGTCTCTCCACTCCTCCCTCCCACCCTACCACAGTCCCCACCTTCCATCCATCTCCGACCACATGCCGATATTAAGCTTCTGTTAACCATGACCAAATAACCAGAAACAACCCACAGATCCCCAACGATTGAAAGGAAGCATTTCTCGATAGAAGTGGACCATAGATACCGAGGTAGTTGCCTCAAACTTTCAGAGATCTCAAAGGATAAGTCCTTCTTCATTTCCCTACACTGGTCCTCCATAACATGACTCACCTCCTTTTTCTCCTCCCTCCTGACTGTCACACTCAATTAGAGATTCTTTAGAGAAACGAGGATTGACAATCAGACCATCTGGGTTGAAAAATCTTCAATAGGAAAGGCACCATTGCGGAAATATTTAGGCTCGACAACAATAGGAGTATTAACAAAATTCTGGTCCCTGTGGGAGAAGAAATTAGAGGTTGGCACTCTTTTTACAAGCTCATTAAAGACTTCTCACCAAACATCCAACCCCAAAAATTTGTTGCCACACCACAGGTTAGTCAACAACAACCCTCTACCTCGTACTGTGATCTCTAAAATCAGGCGCAACCTTCCCCATGGAAGATTTAATGAACAAACCAGGACCACTAGAATTGAGAAAGGTACTTCACCCCTATTTACTCCCACGCAAACCCGAACCTAAGCTCTTCCATTATTGTCTTTAGAAAGCACTTCCACGATGACTGGTATAATTTAAAATTATGCGGGCCTTCCAAGAACACATTAACTACTTYTGCTCCCTTAACCCTTTTGGGGCTGACAGAGTCCTCCCAAGATGTGAAGGTAGTGAACAGCCCAGGTCCTCACCAACTTCAAAGACTGGTATAGAGTGGGAAGCTTTGATCTCACCAAACTTCAAAGCCTCTTACAAAGCCCCGGTAGTCCCCTCCTATGGAGGATGGATCCGCATTAGAAATCTGCCTCTCGATTGCTGGGAGCCTGAGATATATAGGCGACCTATGTGGAGGTTTCCTAGAAAAATCTAAAAAGGCACTACCAAGGCTGGATCTTTTGGAGCCTATGATTCGCGTGGAGAAAAATCCCGTGGGTTTCATCCAGCCACAATCTCTTTAAACTCTAGAACAAYGTAATCAATACCCATCCTAATTGACCCCTATTTCACTAAAGAAAATAACATAGGTTATGCGGTTGGAATCAATGGAGATAGATCGCCAAAAAACTCATCCTATTGCCCGTTGAATAAAGGAGCTGGCAATCCTTGGGTCGTACCCTCCAGACATGCCCCCTGACAAGGTCAGCGACAGTGTTTCAAAAACACAGCAAGCGCTTTCTGATCCTAGTATAGAATTCGACTACTCCACGGCAAATGAAGCTTTTATTACGACAGCTGTCCAACACTTAACCCCTGCCA